CACCGGCCCTCCAGGCCTGGAGTTGCCACATCTGCTTTAGGGGGATGCTAGAAAGTTGTAAACGGGGAAACCGTCAGTCCCTCTACCATCGATCCGACGCTCTGTATGTGTCAGCAGCACTGAGCACAAGTCTCTCTCACTGTCTGGTGAGCTTTTTTAAGCCCACTCATATATGGACAGATAACCAATCTCACCTAAAAGTCCTTTTTTAACTGTTCGTATTTATAATCCTACCATATGATGTTTACCAGCAGGTGTCAGTGGTCACCAGTTTACTTTTTTCCATGTGGACTTTTAAAGTAAAGCCAGCTGGTTTTAAAGACTTCAAAGTCCTTACTTTCTGTTTGCTGTTGTGCCAAACACACATTTCCTTCCTGCTTTCACAACATGACTGTCTGCCATCAGGCTGGGTTGAGATATATCCGTTGACAGGAAGACACGATGCATGCCGGGGCACCTTTTCTTGCAGTTTGAATGTGCTTCCCTCAGTCAGTCTACACCGACCTGTAAATGTGATGGATTGCCTTGAAGTTGATTCAGGGTGGAGAGATGAATCCAAATTACTGCGGCAACCTACTGACTTCATAAACAAACAGCTGGACTCGACTACCATGAACTTTCAGAAAAATTTTAAAAAAGACACGAAAAGAGACTTGAGTGCCTGACATTTCTTTACTTGACACTGCAAATATAATTAAATGATGCAAGTTTTCGCCTAACTTTTAGGTTTATACTTATACTTGGTTCAACTATGATGTTTACATGAAGCTGCATGTTATACAAAGCAATGCATGACACTGTATTTAGTTTACGTCTATATTTTCAAGCTGAATCATCCCAAGATTAAAAAGACTGAACTAAATCACATCACCAAACTCCAACAGCCTAAATGCAAGAAAACCTTAATAAAGCTTCATTAGATAAACTCTGACAAAACTTTGCAGGATTAAGAATTATTGAATGGAGATTATAACCACATGAAAGGTGAGCATCATAACACCATCTTAGTTTGGATACAAGACCCTGAGGACGCTACAATCATAAAGCAGCTGATTTTAGACTGACTGAGGTTCCAGATGAAAATAAATAGTTATCAGATGCATAACTCCTAACCCCTTTACCTGGACCACATGAGGAAGAAGGTGAAGTGAAAGTATCTGTGCTCTTATGCGGAGTCCCAGTCACAGGCGAATTCTCGGGCTTGGCTTCTGTGGTCAGACCAGAGTAAAGGAGCACATCTTCCTCACACGGCGTTTACTGTAGAGTCAGACGTGATGCTTCTAATCCTGCCAACAGTCTGTATCATAACAGTCTCATGTCGTTTGTTCCCTTCTTCTGTCACTTACCTTGAATCCACATTGATAAAATTAACTGTTGCAACCAACTGGACGATCACTGACGCACCAGCAGGAGCCACAAAACCGTGTTTCAGAATAAAAAGCACCACTGAAGCAAAACCACATTCAGTTTGGTTTAAACTTTAAACGAGTTCATTTTTATTAAAAATCCATTGGTTCAACAGTGATTGACAGCTGTTGTTTCACATGTGAAACTCAACTCAGTTTCTTCAAAGTATCTTACAATGACATGAAAGCAAGAACTGTGCATACAGATGAGTGAGAGCAGGAAAACTGAAACGAGCGCAGCCCTGATCCAGGACTCGCAGTGCTGACTTCAGTCACCGAGCGGCACGCACGATTCGTTTTGAGAAAGGTTAAACTGGCAGGTTTCCATTCCAGCCAAAATGCCCACTTCTTTCCACGAGTACAAAAGATACCAGCATAGATCAGCTGTGTGTGCTGAGGCCAGCGTTTTAATGTTAGACCAGCCTCAAGTTGCCCACTCTGTGATACCAGCACACTCTGAAAATGACTACATGTTGAAATCACAGGTCAGAACCTGAAAGCTTCCAATTAAAGTTTACAAAGACCAAGAAAAGATGTGAAAGATTTTAGATCTAAATCTTTGGAGTATCCAACCTGGAGCTCTGCCACTTCCTGTGCTGCGGGACAAGCGGACTCCATAAACCTCGTGTCTGCTCTGTATTCATGTTCGTTGTTTTATTAAACTACATTTTGTCATTTTTCCAGGATGAACTCATCCTCAAAAACTTATGTTAATTAAAGGCAGCTGGCATGATTGGTGTGAGGGGCATTTCTATATCCACACATGGAAAGTATAGCAGCTGAAATCCCACTGAGCAGGTTCCCCCGTTATCCAACCCACAACAGGACAGCACAGACGATAGCAAAGGTCAGGACCTGTTACTGCTGTGGTTCTGTTGAACTGTGACGTGTTTTATCAAACTGATTCAGGACGCACCGAGACTGGATTACGATCTAGAGTTAGCATTAGCAGCGAATTAGCCGCTCGGGTTTAAGCACAGCGTAGAGCTACGTGAGCTGTGCTGACAGCGACTCACACAATCACGACACCTGGGCTCGCATTATAACGAGCTCTAAACACTCCACCACTGTTGGATTTATAGCAAGTGCTCTGCTCTGTTAGACAAGACGAAAGTCAACTCTGTCATTACGCCATTATTGGAACTTGTCCCTTTAGGGTTGGGGGGTGGGGACCTCCAGGGCTGGAGGGCCGGTGTCCTGCAGGTTTTAGATCTCACCCTGGGTCAACACACCTGAATCACATGAGTTCATTAGCAGGCCTCTGGAGAACTTCAGGACATGCTGAGGAGGTCGTTTAGCCGTTTAAACCAGCTGTGTTGGATCAAGGACATCTTAAACCTGCAGGACACCGGCCCTCCAGGCCTGGAGTTGCCACATCTGCTTTAGGGGGATGCTAGAAAGTTGTAAACGGGGAAACCGTCAGTCCCTCTACCATCGATCCGACGCTCTGTATGTGTCAGCAGCACTGAGCACAAGTCTCTCTCACTGTCTGGTGAGCTTTTTTAAGCCCACCCAGTAACGGACATGTCTGAGACTTCGAAGCAGTGCTTGGTATGAGCATCATTGTCCAAAGGTTCGAAACAAAAAGAAGCTGTTACGGTTTCTCTCCTTTATTATTTACTCCCCTTGTGCCAGGGGAACGTTTGGATTCTCCAGCGCTTCACTGTTTTTGAATGAGAAAAATAAAATTCAGTCACAATGGATGAAACTGAATCTCATATACAAGGCTCTGCGCCATCACGCGAGCCTCAGTTTTATCGGCCGTTTGGCCAGCGGCCGTCGACGAGGCGTTCAGCATTTACACGAGTGCACCCCTGCTGAACGTGACTGCTGACCATTTACCTGGTAGCAGACAAAAGGAGGACTGAGCTGACCCGTGTTGTATTTCAGCTTTTGCTTACACAAAACCACAAACAACAGGCCAATGACGTACATACATTATCACTAGCACACCAACTGTATTAACCTGTAAGTATATCACATCTTTTCAATGATTGAAGGAAAGCAGTGCTGAATCAAGAGCTGAAGGAAAACTGAAGTCATCACAGCAAATTTACATGTCAAACCAATCCAGCTCTTGAAAACAGAGCACACTCAGTCACATGTACATAAACCTGTACAGTATTTACACATGTGCAAAGGAAATGAACATCAAAAATCAAAGGTGAGTAACCCAGACCAAGCATTAGTTTGGCAAACGCCTCTGTCGACCAGAAACGACTCCCTAAACATCCACATGAGAGATTTGAGTCCCAACGCAAGCAAAGGAAACGTCGTCCGAGTATTGTAATACTGATTTCTGTGGTATTGCTGGTTGTACCAAAAGCGCTGCAGGCTCACGAGACGCTGTGCATCTCAACCACATACTCTGCCAATGAGGTGTTTGAGTGCAATATCAGTGAGGTCACTCTAGTGTCACAATGACGGCAAGGCCGATGTCATCCGCACGATGCCAGTGAATAAAGCTATCAGAGCTAAAAGCATGGGGGAAATGAATGAGGGGGGGTCTGCCAGTTACAGAGCTGTGAGCTAACAAAGACATTGTATGTTTGTGAGTTTTTACTGTTTTCATTTAAAATGTGTCAAAGTACACACATTATGTATAACCTGAAAGGCAAAAGGGTCCCAGGCATGATCCTGTGCCAAGCGCTGCAGCTTAATAGGCTTAGAATTAGCCTGTCAGGAGCATGAAGAGCAGGATTACTGTAAGAGCCAGAGGAAAGGAGGCAGTGACACAGTGAGAGCAGATCAGGTTAAACACATACAAAACACAAGAGCTTTACACGTCAACGAAAACAGAGAAGATCCTCTGGAGGATGGCGAGTGCTGATGCTCTTCCTCTCGCCTTTCCTGAAGATGAGCTGCAGCGTGCGTAACTAACAACAGCCTGGAAAACAAATACCTGCGTGGTTATCAGCCTGCAGCACACACTGCAGGAGGTCGTCACGAACCGTGTTAGCGATAAGTGCTTTGCTCCACTCGTCCCTTTTACACATCAGGTGTGAACATGTGTGAATACTTGTGTCACCACTCTTAAACAGTCCAACTGGACATTATTGGTTTTTCTACCCAACACTGAGTCTGACTGCACCACAGCTCAGATTCCTGTCTTTGTGAAGGATCATTCGGATTTATTATTCCATTATTCCTACTGGGTGTGATGCACGCTGAACAATGATCATATTAAAGTAAGAACAACAGTAATCGCTCTCATTACTGATGTCCCAATAATCCAACTCCTTAATCACAAAGTCGCCTTTATGAGGGTAAAACTCGAGGCCAGAGCCTCTATGATTACAGGCTGGAACAGATCAGGGCTTCGCCTGTGATAACTATTTAATAAAGAAGCACTAAGGGGATTTCCCAACTCTCTGAGATTGAAAACATTTGTATCACGGTGTTATTTCATGGTAGTTTTAAGGTGTATCACATTCATATTAAACTTCAGCTACAAGACTTATACAAGCATGTTTTGGTGATGCATCTACCTGACTTTGGTCGGCTTTAGCAGCCTGCAGTGCTGCACCTGCTGACATAATTAGGAGTCGACACCAGAGGCCACAAACTGGTCAGCAGTCGAGCCTAACTGGACTGTTTTCAGCTGGCCACCTATGACCAGTAACCAGCTGGTAAACCTCAGATATACGTGATTCTCTGCTGACCATCTCGTGCCTCATGTTGCAAGGATATTAAACATATTAAATACAGCGTCTTACTCCGTCTTGTCCTTTTCTGCAGCAGTCTTTCTTATCTGACTGAAGTCATGTAAAGATGCCCTGAAATGACAGAATTCAGTCTAAAGGGGCTTCAGTGCAAACCACAGACTGGAACAAACATGTAATAAACCTGCATGATCCTTTGTCTGCCTCACTGACTGGATGACGTGCTCAGGGCTAAAAGTATTTCTGTGTTTAAGGCTCTATGTTAATAACAGGGACCGCTCTCCATCATTATACATTCTGATCATGCGGCCAGGGGTGTGTCTGCGACTGGCCAGCCTATCTTACAGTTTGCAAAGGGGAGAAACCCCCCAACCACGAGCCCCTGCTGGCTGGACACTTGCTGATAAAGAAGAAAAAGTCCCCCACCCATGTTACTAATATGTAAGCACCAAAGTTTTTATTTTCCCCCTCACACGACCAAGGAGCAGAACGTCCCTCGACAGCGAGCTTTTGTCTTCAAACACCATCGAGCTGTACGCCATTAATACCTGAGCATTCAGGGCATGTTTGTATTTGAGTCCAATCTTCATGTAAATTGTAAAACCCACAAACAACTTTGCAGCAACACGCAGCACGGTGAGGTGGCTGGATGCAGTGTCGGCCCTTTGGGTGAATGTGAGCACAAGAAATCACAGGATCATGTCTCATATTGCATTTAGTAACACTTAGCACCGAGGTTTGGGTGGCATTTGAAGACAAAGGCTCTGACTGTCTTTTCTACCTGAAAGCAGGAGTTTCTAGGGTCACGCTGCTCTTCCGTCATGCTTCAGATGAAATGAGGAAGTGGAAGCTGTGATTAGCCTGAGACTAGGCTGCAGTTTGGAGCAGCAGATGTGACACCTCCCCCCTTCAATATAAAGTCGTAGACTGTGGGTGCTTTGAACAGTGGCTAAAGGATAATCAATATTACAACCAATGACTGTTGCCCATTATGTGACCGTCGTTGTTAACAGCAGCTGATGAGATGTTTGCGTGTGCTTTGCGGCCGAGTTTGTGGTGACGTTTGCTCGTCAATCACGTGTCCCAGTCGAGCTCTCTGCACGCGATACGGACCAGTCTGAGCTCCAGTTCAAAGGCGTCGGGCCGCTCCTGAGGGTTGGCCGACAGCATCTCCCTGATCAGCTGCTTCATGTGGCTGTTCATGCTCTTTTTCCGGGCAGGGATCAGTAGCTCCATCTTTGGGTTTTCTAACAGGGCCTCTCCTAGCGGCACAATCTCCGAGCCCTGCTGCACGTAGCTCCCCAGCAGCTCCTTCTGAGTCTCCACATCCACAAAGGTGATGCGCTCCACCATAGCCCAGATAATCACCCCCAGGGCGAAGATATCTGCCTTGGCTGTGTAATGGCCCTCCCAGACCTCCGGGGCCATGTAGAAGTCCGTCCCACAAGCCGTGGACAGGAAGCACTTGTTGACGCTGGCCGGCTCCTCGGGGTTGAGCCCGGATGTAGAGCAGACCTTGCTCAGGCCAAAGTCAGCCACTTTGAGGGTGGGCTCGGACGAGCCGGCTGGCGTGCAGGCCTGGGAGATGAGGATGTTGTCTGGTTTGAGGTCACGGTGTATGATCTGGTTACGGTGCAGGAAAGCCAGGGCGCTGCCCAGCTGCAGCATGAAGCTGGTGTTGGTCTTGCGGCTAGGTTTGCGAGACAGCAAGTAGGCATTCATGTCGCCGCCGTCGCAGAAGTCCATAACAAACCACAAATAGTAGGCACAGCAAGGGTCAAAGGTGATCTCGCCCTTCAAAGACGTCTCCACGAGCTGCAGAAGAAACACAGAAGATGAAAAGTGCGTGCACATAAGCAGTGCTGCCATTTTCCATGTAACGATTGTGACATACGGCCTAGATCAACACATTTATGGCGTGTCTCAACATAGATGCTCTTTCTGGTGGCAGATGGCTGCACAACATTTAGGAAACAGCAGTTTATAATTGATGCCCAATGCTGGTAGTGTGGAGCCATCAGACTATTACAGCACACATCCCTACTATACACCAGTCCTCATTTAATTAGTAATTATTCAAGTCTGACTCCCTCTCACAACATCGTAGCATGTTTATCTTAAAACATAAATCGTCACAGGGGACTGTTGTCAGCCCGACGCTTTGAACTGAGCTAAACTGTGACTGGCTCTATGAAAGCACATTCGGCCAGTTTCCTCGTCTGGAGCATTTGGATGGTTTTTTGGTTTCTTGTTGTTGTTTTGATAATTTTATTTTAAATTTTCAAAATGTAACACAAAAACAAACCCAAAACAAAAGGAGACACACAAAGGCTCCGATGTGTTACAAAAAAACCAATTCAAACAAATTTGCACTTCACAATACAAAAAAAAAAAAAAGGATACTCCTAACTACTTTGAATGGAACTTGCTGCAGGAATTCTGGCGAGCTGTTGTTGGAAACTCACTCTTTGACCAGTCGATGGTACATCCTGATAATTTACCAAAAGCTGTGATCAGGCTGAGGAGCAGAGGAACTGATTGTTCAGCATCCTGCAAGAATGTCGCAAAATGTGACAGAACTCTGAACCATCAGGTCCCGCTGTTTTGCCATCAGCGAATGATTGTATAGCCCGGATAACCTCCTGAAGAGTAAACTCAAGATAATCCCGGTCGGAGTTCCTCAGTTTAGGCAATGGGAGAGAATCGAAGAAGCCATTAAGATCAGATTGTAACATATTATGCGTAAGAGAACATAACTCACTACAGAGCTCGCTGAAGCAACGGTTTATATCAAGCGGGTTAGTTAGCAGAGTTTTGGATTTGATGCTGTGTATTGCTCTTGCTATGCTGTCGTGATAGCAACATACCAGGTTTATCCCCAAACTCGAAATGCTTTTGTCGCAATTTCCAAAGTAGATTACTGACTAGGCCACTCGTTATGTCATTATATTCGTATTTTAATTTCTCTATCTCATTATAATCCACAGGAGATGCAGAGACTTGATACAATCCAGGTCAGGAAGGACACTGTTGATTTCTCTCTTTCTTTTTTAAGAGCTGAAGTGTAAGAGATTATTCGCCCCTCAAAACAGTCTTCAGTGCGTCCCATGAAGTCGAATCGGATACCTCACCATTATCGTTTACTTCTATGTAATTCTTCAATTTGCAGGTTATATTCTTAACAAAAATGTCATCCTTAAGAAGGTTAGTGTTAAGTCGCCAAGAGTAAACCTGTTTGGAAGTCCATCCATTCGCTTCTGCTTGTCCTTTTTTTTTCAGGGTCGCGGGTGTTGCTGGAGCCTATCCCAGCTGTCATAGGGCGAGAGGCGGGGTCCACCCGGGACAGGTCTGTCGCAGGGCCAACACACAGGGACAGACAACCATTCACACTCACAGTCACACCTATCCCCACTGTTTTGGAAGTGAAAGATTTAATGATATTGTTAAGGGACTACGGTCAGATATTAATATATTATGATACTTGGAGTTGGTGACTTGAGAAATGAGACGTGAGCTCAGCAGAAAATGGTCGATCCTGGTATAAGATTTATGAACATGTGAGTAGAACGAGTTCTCTCTACCTGTAGGACGTTGAATCCTCCAAATATCTACCATGTCCCTGGTTTTAAGAAGATTGTTTAAAAGTTTTGAAGAAGCTGTTTCTGACACTAATTGTGTAGATGATCCATCTAGGAAGGGCTCAGGATAACTGTTAAGATCTCCAGCCACTATTATATTAGGATCGTTATCTGGGAGCAGATCAAAAATTCTCTTAAAGAAACTCGGTTCATCTGCGTTCGGGCCATATATATATTTAGGAGTATTAATGGGTGAGAATTATATATCTACCTAGGGGATCGGTAACCACAGAAGTCATCTGGAATGGGACGTTCTTCCCAAATAGTACCGCGACACCACACGTGCGAGGTGAATGGTGACTGATATATCTGAGATACCCAGTTGCACTTTAATCTGTGTTGTGTATCTTTGTGTAGCAATGTAACACAATGCTACCTTATATCGCTTCACAGCTACACAAAGCTCAGACTCTACACGCCTCAGTTAGCATAGTAAACTTTTACGTTTGGGAGAGTTACCAGGAGAAGCCTCAAAGTTTGCATTCGAGCAAACCACAAGCTTTCTGAAAGAGCCCTGGGGAGATATTTGGCCATAACATCATATTTTATGAAAACCAAACACAGCACATCAGCACAAACATCTCATAGCAGCTGTCAAGCATGGCTGTGGAAGGGTGACTGTATGGGCCGTGGGCACCTGGCAGGCATCGCCTGAACAACCAACTCCTCTGTATTCGGCACTGAGGCTTCTGTCTGCGAGCCAAAGCTGGGGAACATTTCTGCAGCAGGACAATGATCTCAAACATAAATCAACAACAGAAAAGCCTAACAAAGAAAATAATCAGGTGTTGCAGTGGCCCAATCCAAGTCCCGACTGCATGGAGTCTGTTCTCTGATTTTCGTTCCCCCAACAGTTCAAAAGCACCAAGAGGTTTACTGGAGGTCCTGGAGGCAGCCACCCTCTTTTTCTTTTTTAAAATCAGGCCACTGAAGTTTGTGCAGTGTCATTTGTCCCAATACTTGTAACAGCTCTTGAAATCACAACTGAAATGCTTTAACCTCCTAGGACCTGGGTCCACATATGTGGACATCACATTTTGGGTTATTTAGACCAAAATACTCAATTTTGCTCTACAGGGGCCTGATATGTACTCACGGGGACGTTATACTGCTAGTGGTCTACTGAAATTTTAAACTAATATCCTCATGTGGCTCTCATTCTTCTTAGAAACAAAAATCAGGTAAAAAAATAAATAAATAAAATCTGGTAATTCTTTGTTTTTACATTCATCGGGACCCAATCAGGCCAAATATCAAAGAGAAATGAAAATGCTGCTGTGGAAGAGCTCAGGTTTCAGGAGGTTAAATGTGCTGCTGAAAATAATCTAAATCAGCATAAAAACAGTAGCAGAAACTTGTTTTAAACAGATGGTTGTCAGAGGATTCACCACCCAAACACATACTGCAAATTATCCCACAGGTGGTGTGGTCAGATACTCCCACCCATTATCACTCACTGTACTGCAAGCATGTACTGGAATATTACAATTAAAAAAGGAGAGCTGGAATAAAAGGATTCTGGGAAAGTTTCCAGTGCTAGCACTGCAGAAAGGTGAATGAACGGCTTCAAAACAGCCCTGTGAGCTGCTCAGAGGCAGTAATCAGGCCTGTGGAGAGCTCCTGAAGCTGCTCCAACATTCATACTGCGCAGCCAATGCACGGCAGGCAGCAGCACACATGACTCCAGTCTCACCTCGCCAACAAACACAAAGCTGCCCACTGACGACCCACTGAATCAGTGCGGTTATCGGTCTGATTCAGGTCGTCATAAATCAATCAACATAAAGTATAATAAACAGAACAAAATGTATTGTGTAATTGTGTTAGTCTGCTGTTTCCCACAAATACCACTTTTAAACAATGTTGTTAATGTTTAATTTGTTCTCATCTTTAGATTTTTGTGATTTCTTTTTCCTTGATATTATTATAACATTTTAAATCTTAGTGTTGTGTCAGCGGCGATGTTGGAGGCAGGAGGACGAGACCACAGAGAAGCTTTATGGCTGTAAAACAGGAGAACACACTGAGAGCGCCAAACAGGATGTTAGGGGCAGCGTGAGACGGGGGCACATGATCAGCTGTTGTGACCTCTCAAGGGAGCAGCTGAAAGAAGAAGATGATGATGATGATGATGATGATGATGATGATGATGATGATGTTCCACCCTGGCAGATTTATTAGTAGCTCTACATTTCACTAATCATTGCATCACAGCTGAACGATGTGTTATCATCACGATGCCCGAGGCTCTAACCTGTGCATCCTGCCTTTAACCAACTTCAGCACATGTTTGAAAACTAAAGGTTTCTGAAGTGCTGCACTAAGTGCCGGAGATTACATTTGAGAAATAATTCACTGGCTACAGTTCAAGCACATTATTGATTATTGATCTAAAACAGGTTCTGCTTTCAAACAATGTTATCACTTTAGCATGAAGTTATAAAGAACTGCTAAACCTCCATAAAGCTTCATATAATATTGCCCAGCATGGTGATAAACAATCACAAAGGGTCTTTTAAATTCATCAAAGCAAACTGAAGGCAAAATCAGGCACACTGCATGTTAACAGGCTGCACACGCTAACAACATGAAACTGTCGGCTCCACGCAGCAGCAGCAACTAAAGAGTCTGAGTCTAAAAAACCAACACGTGGATAAATCGATGACAGCACAGAGCTTCCCTCTGACTCAGGAATAAATGGGACCTTCCCATTTGAGTCAAAAATAATAAACATTGAACTATCAGATCAGATCATTTAACTAAATTTTTACAAGTGCCTTTGTGTAAGTCACAATCTACAGTGTATAAATGGATAAGCTCATTCAGTCAACATCGAAGCATTAAAGCATTAGAAATAATTTCCCCAGGGATCAGTAAAGTATTCTGATTAATCAGACTCTGCATCAGCATTAATGTTGTCAGGTGTAAACTATACGTCTGACTGTCACCGTAGCACACTGGAGGGTTTGTGTTCTCCTATCACCTCAGACGCTGTCATGTTCTTATCTGGTTGGAGAGCCTTTTTGTCCAGTACCTGACAAACTGGTTTTTCCTCCCAAGTCCTGCTTCTTAAAGAATCACAACCTGCAGGACGCTAAGGCAGGAAGTCACCTGCTGGGCAACAGTGTGACGAATGCATCTATAAATAAAGACAATCACATGAATGAAAGTGAAACACCAAACCGTGTGTTTTGGTCACATCAAGTATCACATCTGAACTTGTATTACTTCTTTGATCAATGTGTGTTTAACTGGCTGAGGGGACAAGATGAGTTTGGCATGAGCCAACAGGAGATTTCACAGTTTCACTTCTGCAGGATCGCTCCGAGCACGATTCCTTTTTCTGTAACCCCGAGGTCAGCACAGGAACTAATGTGAAGTTAAAAACAAGCAGAGCGGTGCCCTGTAAAAGCATTTACATGCACACAGTGACATCTGTCAAACAGAAAATACAGTCTGAGATTAGCACTTCCTGTTTATCATTTACACGAGCTGTGTTCAAATAGCCGAGTAGGTCGCTCGCTCACTACATCAGCAGGCAGACTCTACCTGCACACGCTGCTTTCACAGGACTCTTTGCCCCGTGATTTCACAGCTGCTAGAACCACCGTTACAGCAGCATTTCCTGCATTTATCAGTCTGTCACGTCACTGTGGAGGAATTTTGCCCCATTTTTCTTTATAACATTGTTTAAGTTCATTGAGGTTTCCGGACATTTGTTTATCTGCAGCTTTCTTAAGGTCCTACCACAGTAACGGAGCCAGTCGGCGGTCACATGTTGACGTGTGGACACGGACACACCTTTATTTGTTCATTTCTTGTGGTTTGTGTTTACAGTCACACTCCTGTTGTGTGGCCCAGTTTAAGCCAAAGTTAAGCTCAGGATCAGTAACATGTTTAAACAAAACTAGCATCCTGACAACTGACCTCCAGGACACTGCTGTACAGAGGAGTGCACGTCAGCTCACTGACTGCAAGAAGCTCAGACTGCAGAGCAAGCCTAAGTCATCATCCTCTATTACGATAGGTCGGTTTGTCCTGATATGCTGTTTGGTTTGGGCCAATCGTGGCACTACTATAGGAAATAATCTCTTGTGTGTCAAGAGGACTTTGACCTTCATATGTGCGTGTGACGTTCTTTGCCTGTAATATCACCGACCACCATGTGTAAACTGGTAGATCATATATCGAAAGGCCTCCTCAAATGGACGCACAATGTAGTCTTTCACAACAACTGTGTAGTTTCACTGGACGAATTCGCAGCATTTTCAAACCCAGCTCGATTTTTTGGATCCCAATAAACAATCCGACCAATCAGGTCACTGGATTTGGCAACAAGTGCGCTCACAGCTCAAGCCGCACACCTGTACTGAACAGACATCGGCATGGAAATAGTCAAACAGCACACAGGTAAACTTTGCTGCGGCTCACTGGGCCCTGTGAAGTGATTTCTCTGCCTCCTCAGCTGTGGTTCAAACTGACCCACTGACATCCTGTAATATGTATGAAAGCGACCGTGACACAGCTTCAGCTCCAGGATCAAACCACGATATTCTCCCTGCTGCTGCGTCCTCGTGAGAACAGTAGGAGCCGTAATCACAGGTTCTTATTTAGGAACATCAGCACCAGCTCACCGTTGCTTTTATTTTTGTTCCACGGTCAATTTTTATGTAAAGAAATAACACAACAGGTGGAGAACAAGGAGCAGCTCTGACAAACTCACTGCAATGAACAGAATTACAAGAGCACAGTTTCTCTGCTGGGTTAGCTGTGTAGAGAAATACCCACAGAACAATCAGAACATCTGTTACAAACCAAGCTGTGTTTGACTCGTTTTAACTTGTCAATTCTCACATTTTCATCTGATATTATTACTACTGTTTGTTAAAATGACTGTTTTAGGACTAAAACAGTCATTTTCTTTACCTTATACAGTGAAGCAGTTATAAAAAGTGAACACAAACACAGACGAACTACACCCATCGTTAGGGATGGGTATCGAAACCCGGTTCTTGTTGAGAACCGGTTCCCACTGTTTCAGTTCCTTGGAAGTGTTTGCCGTTTTTGCAAACGATTCCCTTATCGATTCCAGTCGCCCCGAATGACGTCCCCACGTTGCGGAGCGTCATTTACCTGGCAGGAAACACGGCGGCTCAAACGCTCAAAAGTTTGGTTACACTTTACGAGAACGGATGACAACAGGACAACTTGCAATACTTGCAAAGTAGATATTTCATTTAAGGGAGGAAACACTACGAATATGCAAAAGCATTTGCTCACAAAACACGCGATGACCTTAAATGAATGTCGTGTTTTTAATTCCGCTCCGGACTCGTGAATCTCAACCAGCAGCAGTGGTAGCTGGCTCAGATGCTGGCAGCTCTCGCTGCAGTCTGCTGGTAGCGTCTCCTTTCAGGCAGGATAGACGAATGTCACCGAGCAGAGACTCAGTTTGTGGTCAAAGGCTTGAACCTGTTTGCCACAGCAGATGTGTTTAATTGTAGGCAGGGACATTACTGGATATTCTTGTGTAATTGCTACAGAATAATTTATGTTATACTTTGTTATTGCTACAGAAGAATATTTATTTTATTATTTTACATTTACAATGTTTTTCCTGGGGACCCTGTGACACCCCATTGAAGAGCCGTAGGCTGGATCTCCTAAGATCTCACTGTTGGGTTTGTAAGGCCATGTTACTCCTAAATTTCTGTCTTGTTCAAAGAGAAGATAGAAGTTCTGAGCTAATCAACCTCAGTGTTCTCCTTTTTAAAAAAGAATTGATAAAGAATCGAATCGTTAAACAGAATCGAAAATGGAATCGGAATCGTGAAAATCTTATCAATACCCATCCCTACCCATCGTGACTGATCCCATGGGTCATGTGTTCTCACCTCAAGGTAGAGCGGCGAACTGGAGCCGTGGTTCATCCTCTGGGCTAGCTGGTCCCGCTGCAGGATACACTCCTCCAGGTGGATGACATTCGGGTGCTGGCTTTGGATGCTGCTGAGGGCCCAGAATTCCCGAAGGGCCAGTTCGACATTTTCTGGAGAGTGGCAGCGAATCTTCTTCACCGCCACCCTTGCCCCTGTACGCTTCACTACTGCCTCATAGACCACACCGTAACTGCCACGCCCCACCTCCTGGATGAGTTCGTACTTCGGCTGGCTGCTTACCATCCTAGTCCTCACTGTGGAGACATATTGTGAGAGTTAAGCTCGCCCTCTGCACTCTGTTGACATGCTAGCATGCTAGTATGATCCCATGGAGTGTATAACGCATGGACGCAGCCACCCAATGCGAACTCATTAGCTAACAACGTGTCAACTGCAAATCATTAGCCACAGACAACCCCACAGCTAATCCTCCTTTCTGATACTCGAATACCCACAAATACAAAGCAGGCTTATTGATTCCAGTGACTGAGCCCATGATTCATAGACTTTGATAGGACCACAAGTCTTTTTGCAACCACAGGTATTATTGTGTCCTGGTGGAAAATCATTTCGCCTATCCAGGGTTGCTTCACTGTGACTCCAAAGCTACGTCCGTCTGCATCTACCCAGTGAAAACTCAAAGAATCGCATATAAAAAGTAAAAGCTGCTCCATTTCTTAGCCAGAAAGCTGACTCTGTAATTGGAGAGACTGAACACACTGGAGAAGCCATTTTTCAGGATCTATGTCAGACGTACGAATTTCCCTTTGAGATCAATAAAGTTACTCTTGCTCTTGTAAGGGGCTGCCACAGCAGATGGTAAATATGTTTACTGTGGGTGCTCTTCCTGCCACAAAGCTCCCAGAGAGCTGTGCCTCCTGCTCTCATTCACCTAACATGCAAACGTTGGGTGAATGAGTTAACACAACAAACTTTGTGACAAATAAAGACCTAAACAGTTGTCAGGTGCCTCTCCTCTGAGTCTCTTTGCCCACAGTTCAACTTCACACTCTTTACCAGCAGTCGTGTTTCTGCTCTGCAGCCTCTCTGAGGTCACCAAACCAGTTCTGTGTCTGTCCGTCTGCTGTGACTTTGCAACACCAGAGTAATGATTTAAGACTTTATCCCAAAACATGAAAAACAACGTGGCTCACTAAAGTAAAAACAATGGAGGAATCCAAACGCTGTTTGGAATCAAAGAACAGCAGCAATGACAAACACCGTGGGTGAGTAACATGTCCACAGTGAAATATTCAGGACACAGAAACATTCTTGAAAGCAACAGTTTGGAGATTACATGTTTAAACTGGACCGGTACCGGTCCGTGAGTCGTTTGGCACCGGGCCGCGAGAATTGAGGCTCAGGTGTGAAATGTCTGGTTTTCAGGGTTTTTATCGGTTTTCAGTTTATTTTGTTATCGTTTTTATCGTTTACTCGGTTTTCCTGGGTCTTTTCACGTGTGTTATGAATAAATCTTCTTTTTTCGGTACCGGTACTGGTTTTATTTTGTTGTATTTATCCGCGACACCTTAAAGGCCGGTCCATGAAAATATTGTCGGGCATAAACCGGTCCGTGGCGCAAAAAAGGTTGGAGACCGCTGGTTTAGACCACAGCTCGTGATAGTTGGTCCACATTTCTCCTCACTGCTCATATTAACATCTGTGTGCTCCTGAACAGTGCTGAAGCCAGCTGAGATCACACTGTGGTCCTGGGAAGTGTGAAGCCTGGATCCTACTCGGCTGAGACAAAGACACTGACAGCTGGAGACGTCACAGCCAGGCTGCATGCGGGACATGCATACTTGCATACTTGGTGCACTGCAATTTACATTTCTGTGGATGAATCCACAAGGTCACAAAAAACATCAGGCGCACGACCAGCACAGACCTGTGTGATGATGTCGCTCTGACCCGAGCACAGCAGGCTGTAGAACTGACAGCACAATTACCTTCATTAGACCGTCAACCAAACCATCATTTTCTGCAGTTTTCTTAGTTTAGCTGCAACAACCATTCACAGTTCAGCTGCTTAACAAAAGGCCTGGCAGACAGTTCAGGTAGAAACCAAGTATGATTATTGTTACTTTATAACTCAGTGGCATAGAACAGACAGCTGAATGCTGGACAGGACTAAAAACAGGGACAGATTACAATCAATGTAACTACACAGTTATTAGAACGGCAAAAATAAAGATTACAGATATAATGTAATTGGGTGACAACTGTAAGCTGTCAACAAAGTAAATAAATACTACTTAATAACTGTTTACCCAGTGAGCTGTAAAGCAGTGACAGAGGCGCCTGCAGACATCACTTTTTCTTGTTGAATAAGTGATGCAACAAAGAGTCCTACTGTGTCTCAGCAACAAGGCAGCAAATAAAAATTTAGGATATAACAACATGTTATTGTTATTATTATTAATATTATTATTAATACCACCATAGTAATATGGCTTAAGCGCAGCCTGTTACACACCAATGCATGTAAGATGAGTGGAGAAGTGAAAGATAAGTGCCCCCGCCCCTTCATTTCTCCTGTTATTAAAAAAAGCAGTTTTAACTTTCAATTAATAACAAACACACGAGGAAACCTGTATAGTATTCAGTTTGTAGCATACCCCTCTGCTGCTCCATTGTGTAAACAGGATTCAACACCATGTACAACTATTGTGTTAACGTGACACCACTACAGGGTTACATCACCTTGCAGAGGAGCTGGGTCGTAATCAGATTAGAAAGTACTTTTTTAAGTATATATTTAAGATAAGAAAACTAAGCACAGGCAACATGGACTGCAAACCATCCCTGTCAGTTGGTTTTTCTATACACAAACTGACAAGGATTTTAAAAAATAAATCCATAGTATTTGATGATTTGGGCTATTGGAATACTGTTTCAGCAATACTCGATAAGTAAAACTCACGTGTACAAAGTCACTTGGTCACATGTCAATAATAGCTCAGTTATAACTATTTCTTCTTATTATGAAGCCAACTTATGTTAGCATTGTTTCACTTGATGGGCTGTTGCTCTTTCGACTTGGAGCACAACACAACTTAGCACTGTAACAACTCTGCCTGTTATCCTGGGAATGGCCGGTATTAAACACCTGTCTATATCCCAATATTCACTGGACTAATCAGAAAACTTCATTCTAAAGGAAGGTGACAGTGACAGGTTCGGAGCTGATGGATGTCTCCCAAAAGTCGGCAGCGAAAGGCTGACTCCCGGACGGAAGAAGCGGTAGCCAGCGTGCTAAGGGGCTGATTACAAATCCACTTGACTGATTGGCTAAGAGGCTAACAGCTATCTGGCCTGCCTACTGTCAGCTAACGATGTTGTTGCTCAGCTAACGTTAGCTAATCACGTTAACCTGAGCTAACAATGAGTCCATATATCTTTAGCACAACTGACACGTACGGTGGTACCGAGCATCTAGCTAGGACAAGTCCATGCCTCTTTAACGGTACCAGCACCGGGGCACAGAGGGGGCAGCGTGATAAGCACAGGGTATTGACAGTTTATTGTCCTGTGTGTGTGTGTGTGTGTGTGTGTGTGTGTGTGTGTGTGTGTGTGTGTGTGTGGCATCAGAAAAAAAATCCAGCCTCAAAACACACACACGCGACCCAAGTAGCTACCGCAGACGAGACAATAGTTGATATGTAGAAGAAACAACAGTTGTCGGGCCGCGACTGTTATCAAGCTCACCTTCGAGTCGATTCTCGGGGGTTCATTTGTTGTCTTCTTTACTCTCCCTGGCAGCCATTACCGCCGCGCACGTTCTGCTCGCACAGTCAAACCAAGAAGGTTTTGTCAAACACTGGACGTGAGAGCGCGCAGCTGCTATGCAGCACAGCGCGTCAGTGGCGATAGAGCGACGACTTCCGGTCATACCCTTCAAAATAAAATTCCCGTAGATGCTTTTTTATAATGGAGACTCAATAACCAGGAGGTGGAGGAACGTTGACGGGCGAGGGTATGTTTTTCTAAACATGTTTTATGAAAAAAAAAATTAAGTACATGCAGAGAAATAGCTGATTAGTTCTTCATTAAGTCTTGTTGCATCAAAAAATTCTGCTTTGCTTTATATTCTAAGAGTTGCTTACTTGCTCTGTTTGGTGACTTTTTTAGTCATTTTTGTGTGGATTTTTTCTTTGTTTGTTTAAACACTTGTACTTTAGCAATTGAAAGGAAATCCTGACTCAAAGATGGCAAAAGGCACGTGTATTTTTAAAATGAAAAACTTCCTATTATAGCTAGCACATTTGATTAGCATTATTCAGTCAGTGAAATGAGAACACTTGGTGAACAAAATGCCGTGCACACCTGCAGAAGAGGATTGGGATTTTTTTACTCAGAATTCTTAAAAAAACCCAAAATAGACTCCCCCACTTTTTTCTATTTCCAGTGGCACTAATCCTCTTCCATACACACCTGTACAAGTTTATGTAATCTAATGTAGTGGACCCGCTATCCAAATATCACCTGTAATTCTTTCTCAAATACAGATACTGATGCTTGGATGATAGACAAACCTATTTGCCTGATTTCAGTAAGACGTTCACAGAAAACACACGATGAAAATCCTAAAAAGGAACATATGAACAAACCTATACCAGCTGCCCAGTATTCAGTATTCTAGGGTGGACATTGTGCAATTGATATAATTGCTTCATGCGAAGAAAAAGCACTACAGGTGTGATGTTTGCTTTGAGTTTGCTGACGCAGGGTGGTGCTGCAAATATAGAGGTCTCTTTATAGATCTAAAGAAAACATATAATAGGGTAAGAGAGACACTTTGGTACTGCAGGAGGAAGTCGGGAGTGCCAGGGAAGTATGAGGACAGCAAGACAGTAGTAAGGTGTGCAGTGGGAGTGAGAGATGTGTTCAAGGTGGACATGAGATTACAAGGGTCAGCTTTGAGCCCGCCCTTGTTTGCAGTGGTGATGAGCAGGTTGACCGATGAGGTTGGGTATGAAGGGACTATGATGTTCGCAGATGATGCTGTGATCTGAGAGGAGCTGGAAGAGAAGCTGGAGAGGTGGAGGTATGCTCTGGAGACAAGAATAATGAAAGTCAGTAGAAGCCAAATAAAATACATGTGTGAATAAGAGCGGGACAGGTGTGCATGACTAAGGCTTGGCCACCCATAACCCTGTCGCTGGTTCACCACTGTTCCTTACTTGGACCCCTTTGATAGATCCTGAACACTGCAGACTGACAACATCTCACAAGAGCTGCAGTTTTGGAGATGCTTTTGAAGTTGTGTAGCATCACAACTTGGCCTGTCACAAGGATAGAGACACATAACCATTCATGTGCACATTTACATTTACAGTCCATTTAGATTCACTAATTCACCTAACCCATACATGTCTTTGGACTACGGTAGGAAGCCAGAGTATCCGGGGGGAACAATACAAAGTCCATACAAAAAGGCCCCAGTGTGGATCTGAAGCCAGTACTTTCTGAGAGGTGACGGTGGTAAACTCTGCACCACCATGCGCATGCTGCCCATAATAAATAATAAAAATGTAAAATGAATAAATACTTTAATGTATTAGACATAGACAGAGCAACTCTGGAGGCTGGCCAGGTAGCCAGCGACATAGGTGAAGGAACCCTGGAGGCCAGCACTAGAAGACATGTGAGGCTTGGCAGGAGATCTGAGGAGACGATTTACTGGAAGAGACCTGCATCGATGGAGAAAGCGAGTCTGCCAGGAGACCAGACAAAACACCAGCAGCAGTGGAGATGGAATGCATCAGGAAGCCTGGCCGGTGGCTGAGGAGGAAACGGGGACCTCCGGGGGATTGGGAGTTGCTTGGATGGCTGGGAGAAGTTGCTCTCAGAGGGTGTTTTAGTCTTTATTTGTGGCTGTGTTCTTCATGGCAAAATTGTGAGTCAACTCCCTTGGATGGGAAGCAACCCCTCACATGAATGGTAGCAGAGTGTTTTACTGTTGGCATGATGCAGGACTGATTGTAGCACTCCACCTTCTCCTCTCTGCACAGTCATGTTTCTGGATGCCCCAAACAGAGAAAAGGCCAGTCTGTCCTCCATGTTTTTGTTGCGACTTCGTTGCCCTGCTTGAAAAAAGACCATCCTCCAAAAGCCTTTGCTTCACTGTGCATGCAGATGTCCTCACCCCTGCCTGCTGCATTCCTGACCACGTTCTGCACTGGTGGTGCCCCGATGCTGAAGCTGAATTACCTTTAGCAGACAGTGCTTGCTGGACATGAAAGCCTTCTTCACAACAGCTGAACTTCTACTAGCAGCAGTATCGTTTTATGCAAAGCAAGGATGACTGCTCATGTTTCCTTGCAGGTAACTATGGTTAACAAAGGACGGACGATGATTTCAAACACTACCCTCCATTTAAAGCATCCAGTCTGCTATTCTAAGGGCTTGATTACACTCCATTGTGGACACAAACACTGACAGCTGGAGACCCAACAGCCAAGCAGTCTGCTTAAAGTTGGAGGACGCCCAAATGGTCTCCACAGACAAACCAGTGCGGTCAGAAAAACAGGCAGGCATGCAGACACCTGCAGGGACCCTCGCACTAATTGTCTGATGATTAAACTACTGGGATCAAGTAGACCCTGACCAGTTCACAAAGGAAGAACATCTAAACTCTGCGTGATTTCCAGCCATGTTCTTATCAACACTCACCTGCGTTAATGAGAGGATCACTAATGATGTCAGAGTCCATCTGTGGCAGTGGAAATGGGTTTTATAGGAGTATGTTCATTTTTATGGCAAAGATGAAACATATGCACGCATTCGATCACTCGTGATAATATTCTGCTGTACATGCAGATTGCCAGCAAACGTTGTGATAACTTGTGTCGTTCTCAAAACCTTTGACTATGATTGTACTACATTATCAAACGCACCCTGAATTTCAAGGTAGGTTTATTAGGTTTAGTGCAGTTTCATATGGTAGTCTGTGGTAACCTGCTCAACATCTGTGGTATTATTAAATTCCCCCACAAGAGGGCAGAATACTTCCAGCTTTGGCTTTTAGATGAAGTCTCAGTTTGTCTAAGGATTTCTTTGATGGTCACATCTTATCTTGTTGATCATGAAATCATTACAAATTATTACTGTAGCTTTACTCCAAGGATTTAAAAGCACAGATGCCATTTATTCAAATATTTCTCTGTCACTTGACTTTTTGAAACCAGTAACAGATTTTTGATCAAGAAAGTATGAAAACTTCTTTCTGTTAATAAATAAACAGCATTTTTGCAGCTATAATTTCAGATTTTTATCTCAAAATGCTGATTTACTATGTCAAATTTCTCCAAATATAGTTCATAACTGAGAAAATCACAATTTTGGAATAATAATTCTGACTCATGAACGACTAAAATATTTTTGTCAGTGGTGAAAACAAACTTCCATAACAAAGTGATCAATCATACATCATACCATACCTTATCCATATTCACAGTTACGTGTAATGAAAAAAACAGCAGTTTTAATGTTTTTCTCTCTTTTTTAATGTTCATTTGTGTCATGGTCCTGCGGCCATGACTGAGTGACTTTGTGTTTGTGTTCTTTATTGTTATACTTTCATTATTATTCATGGCTGTTTTGGGATGGTTTGTGTTTGGGATTTTAGACACTGGGTTCTGGGTTTGTGCTCCCTCTGTTGGTCCCTGGTGTTAGTGTTCCCCTGTCTCGTCAGGTTAACCAGGTCCAGCTGTTTCCCCCACCTGTGTGTGATTTCCCAGTGTCTCTTTGTGTATTTATAGTGTGTGATTTCCTCTGCTCCTCGTCGCGTCGGTACTCTGCATTTCTCCGTGAATCCTCTGCGTGTTCTCCCTGCTGTTCTCCCTTCATGTTCAGGTTTGCCACTCCTCTGTGTAGTTTATCCCAGTTTAGTTCGTCCTTAGTTCTGTTTGCCATCTCCACTTTGTGTTCGATATTGTCAATAAATCACCTTCACATCTGAGTAAGTGCTGCATCTGAGTCCTCCTTTCCACTCTTCACACGGCCGCTGCCCCGGACCGTGACAATTTGTGCATTTTTCTCCATTTAGGAGAAAAATAAATGTCATCTTATGACATGATGGCTGATGTGTGGTCCTGAGCCTGTGGACTGGTTTTGGTTCTGATGATTATTATGTTATGTTTCATTCTTGTTAGGATTTGCTCTTCTTAGAGTTTGGTTTCTGTTCTGTCTCTGTGTCTCTCCCTGTGCATACCTGTTGTATTTCCTGTTTTACTTTGATAGTCCCTGTCCTGTGTGGTTTTGCTTCCCTCTTGTCTCATCAGCTCTGATTTCTCCCAGCTGTGTTTCCCTGATTGCTCCTGTGTGTATTTAAGCCCTGTGTGTTCTCCTGCTTGTTGTTGGTCTGTCTGTGTCACTACTGTGTAGCTTTCTGCGTGTTGTGTTCTCAGTTTAGGGTTTTCAGTGTAGCCTATGTTTAGCTCTTGTTTGTGTTTGGTTTTGCCACTCTGTAAATAAAGTTAAGTCCTTCTCTGCACTTCACACGTCGCAGCCGTGACGTCATTATGAAAACATCACCTCGTTCCTATTATGGCTTTGTGTCGCTGATATGACACATTTACTTTTCTATAGAGCAGGGCTGAAAGCCATTAATGAGCAGTTAAAAGTGACCGTCTCTGTCCTTAAAGGCTTTAGCTTAAAAGGTAAAGTGTTGGATAACTAGTTGCCTAGCAGCACTAGTTCTTCTTAACTGTAACAGCTGGAGAGGAAATTAAGGCAAAAACATATCAGAACAACTGTGAGCCATGAAATCAAAACGACAGCCTAAAATACAAAAGGTATTGTTTGGGTCAACGAGGGGAAGTGACTGATGTGTCCAACACATTCAACACAACAGAAATAACACAGCAAGCAGTTATTTTGTCCACAGTCACAACAGAATTTAGAATTTGATCAATAAAAACTGAGATGAACACATGACGTCAGTTACATCACGTCCAAGTCGCCACCACGGTCAGTATGAGCTGTGCTGAGACCCTGTGCTTGGATTCATTCAAACACGCTGTGCTCCGGTGTGAAACAAGATTAATGTGTTACTGTGATACAAGTCAAGCTCAAACTCACAAACCTGGTTATTTGACTAAATCACCATGGTAACTTCAACCCCGGCATAACAGAGAAAGTCAGTAACAACCACAGTGATGTAGTGACTCCTGTGCAGTTTAATCCTCAGGCTGGAACAATGGCAAAACTTCTGCTTGTATGTCCGTGGTCGTGCTTAATAAAGTGTATTTGAATAGCAGCGCCGCGGTCCTCTGATACGTCCCCTGTCCTTGCTTTTCTAACGTTGTCTCCTAGGGCCTTCATGGCCAGCCCCCTGAAGATCGGCTCGTAATCTGGGGAGAGCCACAGCTTCAGTTCAACAGTTCTCTCCAGCAGTGAAAGAGCCACTGGCTGCAGCTGATGAAGCTCAAAGTCTGCTAACTACGTCTCCTGGTGGCATCAAAAAACCAAAACTGAAATATTCACCAGGGAAATCAGCAGCTGGGGAACACGAGGCACATGAACAGAATCACAATAACAACACACGGGTGACGTAAAACTACATGCAATAAAGAAAAAAGACAGAATTACCAAAATAAAACGGGGGAAATAATGTGAGAGGTGAAACCTCGGTCTAATTACTGGGTTGAAAGCACAGCTGCAGGTAACCGAAGCCTCTTTTTGTTTGAACACAGAGATGTGTGTGTTTCAGCTGAAGGAAGATTGATTTGGTATTATATCCTGCTGATGAGGAGCCCAGACAGGATGTTTTGCTTGGTCAATGAGGAGCTTGATACTAAGCAACACTAACTACTAACTTTATGTTTCACTCCCATCAGAAACTCGTAGTGGGCCTACCTGTTAGGCTGAACCTTAACCTGGAGACAGGTCATCTAAAATAAGGATTTTGTTCAACTGGGAGCAATATTCCCTCCAAGATACCACATTTATTTAAAATACTTAGTGACATGCTTTCATTCACAGATCACCAGGCTGCTGCTTTGCTGACAGGGAGAGCAGGATGAGGTCATTATACACTTGTGGCTGCTGTAATTTGTTTTTAATGGGTTTCAACTTGACAGCTTAGAGCTGAGTCACGTGTTCGTGTGTTTAGTCCTTATATGTTACTGCCTGTTAGGGATAGTGGAGATCAGGGAACAACTAACCATCTGTGTTTAGAAGAAAGCTCAGAAAACTAAAAGAAACCCTGGGCCTGAGATCCAGGGACCATGGCGCCGTTAATAAGCAGTCAGGTGTTTGTGGCCTGAAACGATTTGAAATTCTGAGCACTGCTCACACCTGCACCGAGCTCCAGTGTTAGCCACACTTAGCCAGGTCCAGATGTCAATCCTGGAGCTGACCTCTGGAGAAAGCTCGGACTGTGAGCCCCAGACACACGGCACTACACAAGCAACACTACAAACTGAGTACAGTATAACCTTTGTGTTAAGCAAAAATTGTGTTTTGGGAGTATTTTTAATCAGTCCTCACAAAGTTGTTTTCTATCCAAACGTAGCACATATCTATAAACGTGCCAACACATCTACAGGCCACACTTCCTCTGGAGAAATGTCTTCTTATTGTAAAGAATCATTTGGCTCCACCTCCTGCTTCTGTCGCCCACTGGTCGCCCCCCATACACGTCTTTCCGGTCGGGCTTGATCTCATCTCCGTGCTGCTAGTCCTGAAGAAACAAACGCTCCATTCTGTCGTCTTTTATTTGTGTAGTCAAATAAAAGGCTCGTTTGATTGTTTTACGGTTTGGGGACAGAACCGGAGCACTTTCCCGTCTCTGACCGGAGGAGCAGCAGCAGGAGCTCGGCGGAGGAGAGAGAGGCAGGCGGAGAGCGCCGAGCATCGGCTGGACGCAATACAAAGGTAACGAGGCTCCTCTGTGAGCGGACTGCTTGTGTTTTCAGTGGAGACGGAGGAACGGTGTTTTTGCTACGGAGAGCAGAGGATGTGAATCGCCAGTGAGAGCGTGATGGCCGAGCAGGAGGCGCTCTGTTGCAGCAGCATCGAGCAAAATGTCCCCGGGTCCTGGTTTGAGGAGTGAAAGCAGAGTGGCTATCCTTCGTTCCGCAGACTCCATTACGCACCAGCTGCTGCTGCTCCTAAATGCGTTCATTCCTGTTTCCGCTCTGTTCCCGTTCACGCTGTGAGAGGATGGCTGGCTGGCGTTGAGGAGAACCAGTGTCGGCCCCTCGCTGGCTTCTGGATCGCGTGTTCTTCCTGCGGCAGAACCACGGACAGCGACGATGACTCGGCTGCGCAGGAAAGCGCTGGTGGCGCTTTTCCTCTTCACGCTCTTCATTTTTGGGACCATGATGGGCCTGAGGACGCTGAAACCCAGCGACGGCTTTTCGGACCTGGCTCCTGGTATGGATTTCATCGGGGAGAGGTCAGAGAGGAGGCGGCTGGATGTGAAAGACGTGGTGGTTTCCCCAGGTCAGTTCCACATGAGCAGCAGCGACACGAAGGTGGTTTTCACCAGATCGGACCGGGAGTACAGCATATTCTACGACGTCCACATCTTCTACTACCTGTGGTACGGCTCTCCCAGCGTGGACAACAAGTACATCCACTGGGATCACGTGCTGGTGCCACACTGGGACCCAAAGATCGCAGCCAGCCATGCTCAAGGAAAGCACACGCCTCCGGATGACATTGCCTCGAGTTTCTACCCCGAGCTGGGACCCTACAGCTCGAGGGACCCGAAGGTGTTAGAGTCACACATGGCCCAGATAGAAGCGGCCGCAGCGGGTAAGCACTGTTGCAACATTGGCTCTGTGTGTATGTGACAGAGGTTTGACAGAGTCTCGGCTCTTTGAATGCTAAGTGCAATGAAGCATGTTCATGTTGAACTATCATAACTAAAAGTATCCAGATTAAATGTAAAATATAAAGTTTCCAGTGCTGTGAAGAGTAAAACAGTGTTGTCCTCTATTCACGGTGAACTAGAAGAATGCAGTTGCATTTATTATGCATGAATAACATAATAACCATAACGCTGCTAATCAGGTTTATTCACGCGTATCTCGGGTCCGTTTGGTCTGCAGCACTAGTCCTGTGGGGCTGTGGGAGTATGTTAGAGGGGCACCGTGTTCACAGGCTGCACTTCCTAAATAAAATGCCTCTTCCACATGGATGGATGAACACACTGACTCTATGCAAACATGCAAAACTTCAAGATAACAAGTTTGCTTAGAGATGGTGATAAAACACCAGTGTCTGATCAGGAGATTTACATGGTAAATATTGTTTCATCAATATTACAGAAAGTTCCCTCTAATTATAAAAAAAAAGCAAACCAACATGTGTAAATTTCAGCATCTTCGGGCGAGCCTCCTGTATTTGCATCAGTGCCACAGTCTCTCACTTCCATCTGGTAAACCTTGTTTCACTCATGCTGCTCTCCTTCTGTCACAAATCTCCACCGTCTTCATTTCTCTTGTGCACTGTGCGTTGCTTTGGATGGTTGACCCCAGGTTTGTAAACTTGTGATCATATCATATAAGTAAGGAACTGGAACAAACCCACAGCACCCGGGTCTGCCCAAGGACCCCAAGTAAAGCAAGCTTTACTTGGTCCCAAGGACCCCAAGGACCCCAAAGCGCTTTACACTATACACAATCATCCACACATTCACACACTGGTGATGGCAGCTACACTGTAGCCACAGCCACCCTGGGGCGCACTGACAGAGGCGAGGCTGCCGGACACTGGCGCCACCGGGCCCTCTGACCACCACCAGTAGGCAACAGGTGAAGTGTCTTGCCCAAGGAGACAACAACCGAGACTGTCGGAGCCGGGGCTCGAACCGGCAACCTTCCGATTACAAGACGAACTCCCAACTCTTGATCGCCCTTTATTACAACTCAAAGGTTGCAGTTCACAGCACACCCGCTGCAAGCTCAACACAACCAACAACCCGAACACAGGACCCAGTACAATATTTAAGGCTACGTCCACACTAATGCGTTTTTAAACGAAAATGCATCGTTTTCTCTCCGTTTTAGCCTCCCGAGACGCCGCTTTCCTCAAGGGAAGACGCAGCGTTTTGAAAACGCTCTGGAAAACGCACACATTTCAAAACGGAGCTGGCGCGTCGCAGTGTGGACACACGAAAACGCAGACTTTCGAAAACGATGACGCATGTTGGTCATGTGATGCAGTCATGTGACCAATTAAACAAAGATAGCGGAGTGCATTATACGGCAGTTGTTTTGATTGCTCTTAATTTTGACAGCCCTAAAAAAGATGAATATCAGTTTGTACGTGCTCCAGATAGCTTTTCTTTAATTCTTTAATCCTCACTCGTTTTTGCGCAGGACTGGAACGTAAGCGTTTTCGGCCGTTTCAATGTGGACGACTGTGTGGATGCGAAACGTTTTCAGATGAAAACGCCGTTTTCAAATCTATCCGGGCTAGTGTGGACATAGTCTAAGTCGGCGGGGCATGATTGCGGATGCACAGAACCGCGATCCACGCCACATACCCGATAGCCCGACTGAGGCCAGGGAGCCATCCGGCCAAATCTAATCCCCTCCCCCCGCGAGCGGGAGAGAGACCGTCGGCGTCCCCAGCTCCAGCGACAGGGGGGTGTGAGTTCAGGTGGTCGCCCGCGGCTCCAGCGGCGCTGGCGAAGCTGGTCTGGAGGTTGGTCGCGTGGCAGGTGGTCGCGGCTCACAGGCGGCTGGGCCGACGTAGGATCAATTGGCGCGCCGGCCTCTGGTGGAGATGAGGCCGGTCTGGCCAGCATGCCGCCCTCAGACTTGGCGGGGCTGTCGCATGGCTCGCCCTCCGGCTGAGCAGGCTCCTCCTCTGCCGCCGCTCCCGGTGGTGGGCGGATCGATCCAAATATCGATTATATCGATGCCAAGTTGGCATCGGTATCGGATCGATACTAGCCTGGTGAGATCGATTCTTTAAGTTCCGCTCTTGTTTGCGGTGCTGTCGTTTTGGCAAAGACGAACCAGCCAGGTTGCCGGACTCGCTGCACCTGTGTCAGCGCAGAGCAGGCACACTTTGCTCCCCTCCTACCTCTTGTGTTTAGATGGTGCGCTGTCACGTGACGTGCCTTAGACGCGTTGGGGGTTGTTAAGTTGTTTACATATTATTTATATTTTTATCAGCTGTTATTGTTGTTGAGAATTTTAATTGTAAATTTTGTATTATAGTTTCTCAACAGTGCTCTTTTAGATTTTTTTAACTGGTTTGCGCAATTTATTGTAACATTTTTATTAAAAAAAAGATAACTAAACCGCCACGGCAGACCCGATGGCATTTTCATGCTTCGCAGCATCATTTATTCTTACAATGATCACACGGCTGTGTGGCACGGCTACAGTACATTCTGCTGCAGCTCTCCCGCTGCCAGCCGTACACATCACCATCAACAACAACACAGAACACGCCACAGTTTTTAACCCGGCGAGGCGTGGTTGTATATGCCGCTGCAGGTGAGTCCATCTCAACTGCAGAACACACCCCGCCACATACCCCCTTCGCCCCTGAGGCCGGGCCGAACCTACTCTCCCCTCCGCGAGCAGGCAAGGGAAGATTAGGTTCGGCCATCGGCGCCCCAGGCCCCAGCTGGGCAGGCGGTCGGCGTGCAGTACCATGCAGCATGCTCTGTTGGAAGAGAGGCTAGACCGGACAGCACACCGCCCTCGGGTGTGGCAGGACCCCCACGCACCTCCGTCTCCAGCTTGGCAGGTCCCGCTGGCGCACCAGCCTCTGGCTCACCCCGAACCGGCCCTTCCCGTGCGTGTCCACCCTTACAATAATCACACGATTTCTCTGCATTCAACTCTGCAGCTCGCCCGCTGTACACATCACCAACAACAACACAAGCAGAGCACAGGTTTTAAGCCAGAGAGGCGTGATTGTAGACGCGGTGCAGGTGAGTCCATCTCACCTGCCCTGGCATCGCAGAGCAGCCACAATAATTTCTACTTTGTCCTAATTATGTCCTGGGTTTTAACTATTTAATAATGAAAAAGGAAACATCACAAAAAACACTTAAGGTCATAAAATTAATTGAGATTTAGCAATTCAATGGCGTATCCACCTTATTTATTGAGTATCGGCGATACTGGCCCGTATGTACTTGATATGGGATCGATACCAAAATATGGAGTATCGCACACCACTAGGAGCAGCTCCTCCACCTCTGTCAGGTGCGGACCCTCACGCACCTCCTCCGCAAGCAGGCGCAAACCCTCGCGCAGCTCCTCCCCTTTCTCCTCCTCCTCAACCGGCAGGCACGGATCCTCACGCTCTGCCTCCTCTTCCTGCGACGGCTTGGCAGGTTCCTCCCGCGCTCTCCGTGCACTGACCTCCAACTCGGGCTGAGCAGTTGGGTAAGCTGTTGGTGGACCCAGTGGTTGCTCCGTGGCCCTCGTCCGGGGAGCAGGAACAGGCGCAGGCCCCAGCCGGGTACAAGCCGCTCCCACCCCAGGAGTGGGGATGGGTGCGGTGGCAGGTCCTGGCTGGTCGCAACCAGTGGGGGTGGCGGCCATGTTGGCCAGGACTGCATCTGAGCTGCCAGACTCGCGATCCTCTGCGTGCGGCGCTCAACCAGGTCCTCCAGTTCTTCCTGCCAGCACCACAACACTGCCGCCTGCTCCTGCTATGTTGCCACCATCTGGGTCAGCTCCTTCCCCGGCTGGCCCGAGGGTCTGCTGTGTCCCCGTCCTGGGTTTCAGCACCGCTGTAACAAACCCACAGCAGACCCGGGTGCATGTTCACGCTTGGCAGCATACTTTATGACAACTCAAGGTTGCCGTTCACGACACACCACCACCGTGGGGTGACTGCTTGCACACGGCCAACCACCGGACCAGCGGCGCCGGCACCTGAACTCACACCTCCCTGTTGCTGGACCAGGGGTGGGGACGCTGTCGCTCCGGGCCGATTTTCCCTCTCCCGCTCACGGAGGGAGGGGAGTAGGTTCGGCCGGATGGCTCCCTGGCCTCAGTCGGGCGATGAGGGTATGTGGCGGGGCATTGCCTGCAGTGCTGTGCAGGGAAGGCGGACGCACCTGCACGGCATCTGCAATCGTGCCCTGCCGACTGAGTGCTGTGATAGTGGTTGTTGTTATGTTGAGCTGCAGCTCTGTGTGTGGATGTACAGCAACCGTCAAAGCATTAATAAAATATGCTGCAAACCATGAACGTGCACCCGGGTCTGCTGTGGGTTTGTTACAGGAGCACTGACTGGAAGTTCTGATATCGCCTGTTTTTCGCTTGTCTGAATCTCATTCACTACAGTGAGAGCTAACTGTACAGTCTTCATCCTCCTTTCCTTTTGCTTTGCTGTCTTTGAAGGAGTGCTGGTTTTGTCCTGGTATCCTCCAGGGGTGGGGGACGACCACGGGGAGCCCACAGAGGACCTCGTTCCTACCGTTATGGACGCTGCCCACAGGCACAGCATCAAGGTAACTGGTGAGACAACCGGTATGTTTTCCCCTTTCTGACGATTTACTGAATTTCTAGATGGCTTGCCAGTGTTTCCTGACTGTTAATGTTAAGAACAGTATTGATTTGAATCTCTTAAAAATCAGCTTTGTGGTCACACTTTGACTTTGTGATTATTTAGACATCATCAACCTGAAGAGCAGAAAGATAACACTTAATAAAAAGAATTGATGAACTTGTAGAGGGGTTAGAGTCTTCCAGATAAGTATCAAGGCTGAGGATACACTGTACAAGTCCTGTATCTATAATGTGATTTATATCATGCTTTATAAATATGGAGGCACAGAATAATGACAAACATGCTAAAAGTAAGAGTACTTACATACTCTAAGTATTTACGTAGTTGCATATACGTACACAGATATACGTATATACAGCTGAGAAGGTTTAGAAACACATTTCAGTGTCTGTAGGTGCAGAAATATTGGACGTGGTCAGAGTGACAGATTATTTTAAAAGGTTTTCTTTTTGTACCCAAACATTAATGGCCGCATTCTTTCACTCGCCAAAGAGCCAAAAGCAACTCCGGTTACCTTGAACATAGAACAGGTGTTACACATCGAATATACTGAAATACTCGAATACCTCAAACTAGTATCTGCAGAAACGCAGTGTGAGTGAAGAATTCAGCTGTGACATTGATTTTGTTGATTAGGTATTTCCAGTGTTGGGAAGGTTACTTTTAAAATGTACTCCACTACAGATTACAGATTACATGCCCCAAAATGTATTCTGTAATGTATTCTGTTACGTTACTCAATGAGAGTAACTGATTCTGAATACTTTGGATTACTTAATATATTATCATGCTTTTTACAGCTACATGAATGTCCTGTTGCTGTGATTTATTACTATTACTGAAGGTTACTCTCCATTTTTGCAGTGATCGTATAGAAACTATTCCTCGCGTATATAAAACAGGTCCGCGGCTCCGAACCGTAGTAAAGGGACCTCTGGCTAATACGTCGGGTTCGTGTCGGCTCGTAGCCGAAAACTAGCTTCACTTTGTTGTCTGGGTCACTTTGCTAGTGAGAGACAGAGAGAGGCGTTGAAAGGCTGCTCATACGGAGCTTATTGTTTCAGAGGAAACAGGAACACGGCGTACAGTCGAGTCTTAACAGCTTACTCACAGCTGGGCTTCACTGCCCATCAGGCTACACTCTTCAGGGCGATGCCTGTAACACTCTGCCTGTTGCCTTCATATTAAATCATTTTTGAACAATAATTTTAAAAAACGTTTCTTCACGTCATTATGCGGCCGCGAGTAGAGGTGACGTGGCCTGAGGCTGAGACACAGACATCAGAGCCTCTTAATGCGTGTTTGTTTGGGTTTCCACCAGCGTGGAAACCAAAAACAGAGAGGACATAGCCGAACATATGAAACAAGAAAAGACCGCCGTGTAATCCATTTATTTCAGCAAAGTAACTGTATTCTGAATACCACCTTTTTAAACAGTAACTGTAACTACATACAGTTACTCATATTTTGTATTTTAAATACGTAACGCTGGTACATGTACTCTGTTACTCCCCAACACTGTGTATTTCACTGTGAACGTGTCACCGCATATACTGCTCTTAGACGCTCACACACTGGGGGATGAGCCTGCTGTGCTAACAGAGTATTACAAAGTAAAATTCACTTGTGTATTCATTGATCACATATATTATAACATGCTGTTGAAGATCTTTGAGGTATTCCTACACAAAGCATATATGTGAACCACTATGAACTGCTTTGTGTTTGCTAGGTTTGCCTCAGTGTGCTCGTCAGTTTTCCCTCCGTCTGTTCTTGAAAGTCCAGTTTTTCAGCGTTCACTCCACAAACAGTAGCTTGCAGGTAAACCGTGTGTGAAAAGCATGTTTTCTGCAGTCAGAGGGCCTAGTTAGGTTCTCCCTCCCAACACAGGCTGAGTGTCATCAGGTTTTATTGTGGCCATGGCTTTTACGTGACCCACAATTGAGATTTAACAAAATATAGTCTTTATTCATTTCAGAGTTTGGAGCCTATGTTCACCCTTAATAACCTGTAAAATCTATCCGAGACTACAAATTTACAGCTTTTATTGAAAATTAATTTATTGCACTGTACGAAGAGTTAGTCCTTTATTTGTTTGTTTGTTTTGTTTTTTTGTGCAAACGACATATAAAAAACATGTATGTAATTTTGTCCTTTCGAGGCTTTCTAATATTGACTGCTGCCTGTCCATAATTTAAAGGCTACTGAACATTGTATTGGTGATTATAGCTTGCAGTCAGTAGCATTTATTTATTAGCAAAATGAAGAGTCCGTCCTCCTTTTCTCAGGAGTTACTGTCAGTGATGTAGACCTCCTCATTCAAAGTGTGCCACAATGTTCCAGCAGCAAGCAGCCAGTGCTGGCAGTGAGAAGCATTACACTGCAACAGTATTAGACAACATCAGTCAAATGAAAGCACAAAATGAGCCTTTTCACTTGAACTTTGCTTTTACACTTTAACAGAAATAAGAACTACAGCCTAACCTTTAACTGCATGATCTCGGGTGCATCGGCTGCTTAAAGCCCTCCTTCGCCATCATTACCATTTACAGTCCAGCTGTCATACGAGTTTAATGAGCGAGTGCTCGTTTTCATTTGTTGACTTTTCGGCAAACATCACCAGATGCTTGTATCTCCTCCTTGCGTGTCATCATAGCAAGGTTGTCCTCAGCTGTGTCTTTTTGCCTCAGGTCTGTTGTTTCCACCTTTAGCAGCTTTCTTGCAAAGCATTGTGCTGGAGGTCACTGAAGGAGCTTCCTCTTTACTGCGCTGCCATCAGAGGCTGGCATTCACCTCTCAGACATGTCTCAGCTTTTCTCTTTCTCAGCTCCAACTGAAACAAGGTCAGAGCTCCTTTAGCACTAGCGGCTGTCAGATACCATAAAGCCATTAAATGTTGAAGGTGCTCGAGACAGCAGTGGCAAAATGAGCAGAGCCCCGTGTGGAGGACAGAAAAGCTTTCTCTTGGTCTACTTTTCATGCTTCCTTATATGGAAGTCTTAGTTTGAGAACTGGGTCTCTTTGTGAGTGTTAGTCAGACTTGCACAACAGTGTGTATCTCACAGCTGACCTGAGCACTAATGCTTTCATGATTCAGTGCTCCAGAGCTGCTGCTAACAAAATACAAGTTTATCTGTGTTTGCTTTCTCTGCACATGTCATATGCATATGTTTGGGAGCTGCTTGTCCTGTGATGCAATGAAAAAGACGCAGCAGGAAACTGTCTGCCCCTCTGCCACTATATGAACGTGTCACAGAAATGACATTTTACAGACACAGGATCCCCTCCAGTGTTACACAATCTAACTAACCTCCTAACTATTGAGCTGGGTGCTATGTTGCTAAATAAAGTGTTGGCATTGACACTGTCTGGAAACTGGAACGGCAAAATAAAAGCTGTACTGACAAACAGTCTGCAGCTGCTTTTCATGAAGCTTTAAGGCTCAATAAGCAAAATGGCCTTGTGCAGAATATAGGATGCTTTAGGTGATCAGCACCCAAGTTAGACTCCATCCCCTGAGCTGGGCCTTTATGTGTAGAATGTTCTCCCTGTGTCTGTGTGGGTTCTCTTCAGGTACTCCGGAGAGAACCCACATGCAGTTAGTGGGGTTTGGTTCATTGGTGATTGTGGTAGATGGGAAAGTTTCCATCCCCTCACGGCACTGAATTGGATAAGCGGAGGATGGATGGGTGGATGCATGGACGGAGGGAGGGATGATGGATGAATAGAACATGGATGTAGGGAGGGAGGGATGATGGAGGGATGATGGATGGATGGACGAAGGGATGAT